CATCCCCCCACGCACCGCTCCTTGGTCTCCACCCTCCCAACCTCCCCGCTGCTCCTTCAAACAATGAGGTCCCCACGCCCTGCGCCCACCGCTACAGCCACCGCTACCTCTCCGCAGCCCAATTATAATAGCGACCGTCGTGGGTTCCTCCGCCCCTCCGCGGGCCCTACTGCTACTGCTACTGCGATGAAGGCGGCGGCGGTGGGTTTGACTCCCGATTCGGAGGTTGTGGAGACGGAGGAGCCCCGCAGCCTGGTGGTGGCGCAGACCCCCCGTCAGCGGCACATGCTCATGTTTAGAAACGCACAGGCGATGGTGACGGCGGCGGCAAACTCCCGGTCCTGGGTCAGGCCAGGTACGGATGGTGGAGTGAGGGGATGGAGGAGCGTGGGCTGAAGCCAGGGGGGGAATGGCCGTGTGTATGTGTGTTGATGTTGATGTTGTTACAGGGTGGCATAGCTCCACCAGCGGCCCCCTTTCCCGAGGCAGTTCCCTGCTCTCCCCTGCTAGAGGGGCACCCTAATCCGTCACCCCATCCGACTTCAGAGTGTACTCTTTGAGTTTGGCAACTCACCACCAGCATCCAACCAAATCTAGCGGGTCAACGGCGCGTCAACTTAGTGTGTGTGTGCGTGTTGTGTGTATGTGTAGGATTACCGGAAGCCATCCACTTACCGCTACCCGCTACCCAACCGGCTGGTGAGAGAGTAACTAGAAATGCCCCACTGGCTATCTGTCCTTTGCCGTACATCTCCTCTCTGACACCCTCTCCCACCTTCCTCCCGCCTTCCCCCCACCTTCCCCCGCACCAATACACACACGTGCACTGACATGAATACACGCACACTCGCACAGCTCGGCAACCCCGACCCAGCTACGCGCGGCCTACTCGCCCTAGTTATCACGAGGGTAGCGGAAGCGGACTGAGTGCGTCAGACGGCGGCGGCGGGGGAGGCGGCGGCGGCGCCAGCAGCGGCGGCGACCGACGAAGGTCTCCGCTCCGCGGCATCATCTCCGCCGGCGCTGTTGGCGGCGGCCGCGGCCTCCCATCCCCTCTGTCCCCCGCTGCACGCGCTGCCGTAACACTGTACGACACCACCGGCGCGCCGTTGTCCGCCAGGTGCAACTCTGGCGGCAGACTGCCGCCAGCTCGTCCGGATGACCGGTTGTCTCGGTACGGCTCCATTGGACGAGCTAGCAGCGCCGGTGCCAGCGGCGCCCGCAACCTTAGCGCGGGAGGGGCTAGCGGAGGCCGCATCCGCAGCGCCGGCGGCGCCGGCGGCGGCGGCATCGCCGTCACATCAAGCCCTGCTGATGGCGGCGTGGTATTGCCGCTGCTTCCGGGCGAACTGGCGTTGCCGAAACCTGGCTTTGGCCGCCCCGCCGGCGCCAGCAGCCATACTGGCAGCTCCGCCGACGCCGCCTCCCTGGCGCTGTCGGAGCTCAGCTTCGCGCACCTCGGGGTTCAGGAAGTGGACGACGAGGACGACAGCAGCAGCAGCGGCGGCGGCGGCGGCGCTGGCAGTAGCAGCAGCAGCAGGAGCGGGTTCGGTGGCGGTGGAGAAGGCGAGGATGACGACGGTAAGAAGGACGAGCAAGGCAGTCGACGGTTCGACGAGTTGGATGATGAGGCGTTATTGGCCCGGGTGCCAGCAGCGCTGTTGGGCAGGAGGGGAGGTAAGGGAATGGGCGGCGGCGCCGCCGCCGCCGCCGCTCCTGCCGCCGTCGCCCCGCAAAGACCGTTATCCGCCAGGGGCAGTCAGACCGTGAAGGACAAGGCGGCGCGGGGCAAGGCAGCGGGAGGTGCTCCCGCGCCGCCTTCGCCGCCACCTCCGCCGGCGTCACCGCCGCCGCCATATGCGTATCAGAAGAAGCCGCTGGCGGGGGGAATCAGCGGCGGCGGTGCAGCGGGGAAAGGGACCGCCGCCGGCGCCGCCGCCGCCGCAGCAGCGGGGCTGCCGTCGGCGGCCGATCAGACAGCGGCGGCGACCAGCAGCGGGACCAGCGGCGGCGGCGGCGAAGCCCTGAACGTTACGATGCGTCGCCGCGGCACGGCTGCCGGTAACCCGGGGGCCGGCGGCGGCGTAGGAGGAGTTGTGACGAATACGGGCACCGCCAGCGGTGCATCGGTGGCGGCGGCGAGTGCCGTCAGTGCCGCGGGGGTGGCGGCCGTGGCGATGCCGTCGGTGCCCTCAGGCGCCACTGCGGCAGCGGGTCCTGCTTCGCTGGGTCTTACAAACGGAGGGCGCCACGGCACTTCGTTGCAAGCCAGCGGCCGCGGCGGCGGCGGCGGCGGCAGCGGCGGACCCCGAGGTCCCATGGACACGGAGTTTCCCTTGGTACGTGAAGTCTCTTTCTGCCGTACTCCCTGCTTGAAGGGGATGGATTGGATGACAAGGCCTGGAACTAGAGACACACCCGTGTGTATGTATGTACGTTTGTATGCGCGTATATGTGTGGTGGTGGGAAGAGGAATGGGGAAGGGAATTTTTACCACGCTCCTTGCTGCGGATTCGACGCCCGGCTAGCTGACTCATGACTGTTGCCGCCGCCGCCGCCGTCACATGCACCAAAGTCTTGTCGTCGCGTGCAACACACACCTGCCCTCTATTGCCGTACAGGATTTGGACGAGAAGCTCCTCCACCACCATCACCACCACCACCACCACCTCCAGAGCCCACCGGCCGCCGCCAGCGGTGGCGGCGGCAACCAGCTGCACCACCACCACCACCCGGGAGCCCCCGCCCACCTACAACCTGCACAACATCACCACCAGCACCACCAACACCACCAACACCACCAGCACCAGCATCAGCACCAGCACGGCCAGCACCATCAGCATCACCTCACACCGTTGACGCCTGCTGGCGGCGGCGCTGCCCGAAGTACGGCCGCCGCCGCCGCCGCCGCGGCTTCGCTGCCGCTGCCGCTGTCGACGTCCGCCACAGCTGCAGGCCCCTCCTCCTCCCTTCAGCAACATCAACAGCAGGCCGCCGCCGCCGCCGCTGCGTCTTCTTCCCCATCATTTCCACCATCACCGTCACCGCCACTACCGCCACCACCACCACAACAACAACCGCCGCAGCCGCCGCAGGTGGGGCTTCCGCCCGCCATCGCGCTGGGCTACGAGTCCCTGGATCCCTTCGCCTGGGCGGCTCTGGCGGCGCAGGTTGGACCCACCATCCGGACGCCCTTCTCCCAGGAGAACATCCTGCCCAAGCCGCAGTGGTAGCGGTGTGCCGTGTAGCGGTGTGACCACCAGATCAGAGTGATGTGATGTGGTGTGTGTGGGGGGGGGCTGGGGGGTGGGGGGGTTATGTGAGAGGGTGTGTGGGTGTGTATCTGAGCGAGGACCTCCGTCCCTCGGCGGATTTCCCCTTCACATGTGAACCGTCACGGGGTTTGATATGTGATGGGTTCGGGAGACGCGTTGTACTCTTGGTTGGGGGGGGGTTGGGGTTCGGGGGAAGTGATGTGTTTGTGTGTGTAGGGGGGGGGGAAGGGTAGCAAAAGGGTGAACACATATCGAAGAGGACCTCCGGAGCCGCAGCGCGCCATGCTGCGACTGCGCATCACATCACAATGCAATGCAGTGGCCCAGACCCACCTTGAAACAGCAGGGTGAGCACGCGGCGTGGCGTATCGGAACACGTTTATATTTCGTAAATTTGTTTGTTGGCGGGCGGTCGTGCATTCATTACGCCTCATTACGCGAGAACTGTTGAACTCCTCGCGGAAGAACTGAGTAGCCGTACAGCCGTACAGTACTGCGTGGGGGGATGGCACTATGGCGACGGGGCCAGAGAGAGGGACAAAGAGAGAGAGAGAGCGCGCTGACGTCGCATGAGGCGTCATTTCCCCCCACCCCTCTTCTCTCTCGCTCCCTCTTTTCACGTTCGCTGATCGTTGGCCATGTTGTGGTGCCCCTCCGGCAGAGCCCCCCGTGGGCATTTCTTGCCTTCACACGAACACTTTGCGGACACCTCCACGGAAGTCATCTGCTGTGGGGGTGGGGCCATTTGTGTTTGTGGGTGTGTTTGTGTGTCCATGTCGCGCGAGGATCAGGTCGTTTTGCATTGTGCAGCGATGCAGCTCTTATCTGAATATCTTTATTTTGGTTACACATTACTGTTATAATGCGCTATTGTCGTTGTCGCCGCTTTCCTTTGAAACTCTGCCCCAAACACAAGCGGGATGGATGGGCGGCCATAGGTATCTGAGGCTTGGAAGGTGCCATGCAAATTGAAATGTTACAAGGGCCAGAGTCTGGGCAGCAAGGTGCAGTGGTAATCACCTCATTAGCATTAGCATTTGAGACAGAGGAGGTTTTGCTGTTCCAGCTCCACGCCTAGCTTGCCGCCGCACGCAGACTGGAAGACCTGGCAAGGGCTTATGTAGTGGCGTTATAGCGACGGCTCTCTTGCCCGCATTTTCCGAATGCGACGATGGCTCCCAAGAGCTGCATCACTGTATCATTCGTCACGCGGTACGACACATATCACCGCATCACCATCTCTCACACCTTTAACCAGCCAAAGAATGGCGGGGTACGGAAAAGCCCCCTCACAACAGGGGGAGGGGGGACTCTTTAACGCAAAAAGATCAGCCATCAAGCTAGAACGCAATTCCACAACATATGGAAGGCCTTTTGCGACACCTAACATTTTGGGAAAGCGCTCCGGGCACTTCCCCGCTTGATGGACTCCTCCGGGGGTCAAGCGGCCGACAGACAACGGCCACAAGTAATGGCGTGTGGTGCAGTGTGGTGACGGTGCGCATATCCCCCTCCATCACTTTCTCTCTCCCTCTTCTTCCCGCCTCAAAACCGATCAACACCCGCTCCCTCGAAACAGCAGCACACGCATGTATGCGTGTATGTAATATGCTTTGAATTCGGCACGGTTTTGTGTAATTTAATTATTAACGTAACAGATGAATGGATGCTTTGTGCAGATTTACTTTTCGACATTAAAAGCATGGCACATTAATAATGACAAGGATGAAGTACACATCCTAACCAACATTTCAGTACATGCGCCCATGCGCTTTTCAACATTCGTGAGCGCTTAAATGATGGCTTAGACTGCCTTTTTCTGATGCTCCGTGAGACCGACCCGCTCAACGGCACTGACTGGCCACCGCTCCAGACTGCATGCCGCCTGCAGTTTGCTGGGTAGTTGCCAAGGCGTCAAGTAACGATGCAAAACCTTGGAGCTGACCCGTGGCTGGCAAACCATCGCCGGGCGCAGGCTGGGTTTGTGTCCCTGCCGACAATGCTGCTGCCGCCGCCTGTAGTCCCGCTATCAATGGCTGCAGCTGTATCGTTCCATGCTGCTGAAGACCGGCCGCCAGGGCCTTGAGCAATTGCACCTGTGGCTGCGGATTTGCGCTGCCTGCCGTCCTCGGCAGCTGCTGTGCCGGTTGCAGCTGCTGCTGTTGTTGTAAGAGCGCCACCAGCATCTGCTGCATCTGCACCTGCGGTAAACTAGTCCCAAGTTTCGCCAGGACCGCACCAGCCCCACCGCCGGACTGCAGAGGTAGTCCCCCCGGTACCCCTGGTGCTGCTTGCACCTGTGATCCGCCCGCCGCCACCCCCATCAAAAGCGCCGGCAGCTGGCTTGCTAGCAAACCGGCCAGGCTGGAAAACGACTGGCTGCTCGGCGGCTGTGTGCCTGCGAGGCCAGAGGGGTTGGCTGCTACTCCTGTGGGTGCTGTCGGCATCCCGTCGTCGGGAGCATTGATAAGCTTGAACACGTGCAGCATGGCCACACCATCCGGGATGTATGGGTAGGCAACAGTGAGCACCTTGGCCACTTGGAGCGGTGTCAACACACTGCAAAAGGGTGGTGGAAGGGATGCAGCGGCAGACGCACAAATGCAAGGACATTGTAATACAACTCATATGCCACTCAACCCATCCTAGTATATCAGACAGGGGGGAACACAAGGACAACCAAGTGTCACGCCTACCCCAAACCCTGTCCGACTGAAATATTGTTTGGCACACCGTCAGTCGCTCTATCTATCATGTGCCGCTCACCTGGTGTAGCAGTCGCTCACCTGACGGGTCAACTGACTATGCGGAAGTGTTGAGTTGACAGTCCTCACCGAGGCAGGAAGGAGACCAACCCAGCGGCAAGCACTAATGTACATAGATGCATACGAAAACAGTCTATATGGCGGCAGCGGAGTCTTGAACTCCGAACACCTAGTAGTCGTGATACTTCAGTGTCTGGCCTGAGCACCCCGCCCGGGTAGCTTATATCTCGGCCTACCTGCCGGAGATTCCCTACCACGTACTAGGATAATGTCGGTGGGGCCCGGGGTCAACCACCCCGGTTACTACACCGGATCCATGACCACATACATGACCACATCCATGACTGGAAAACCCATCCATGACCAAGTCATTCCCCGAGTGATTGCCCATGTCTGTGTGGCCGTGTGGCCGTGTGTGTGTAACGGACCAAATATAATATCTCGCCTGGCTGAAACGCGTTATTGGTACTATATAGCATTCTCTATCGCAAGGTATCTCACCTCTAGCCAACAAAAATCGTATGAGCACAAATGAGCACAAACAACTGCCTCAATTGACCGAGGCCAAAGTCACATCAACGCCTCTCGGGCTAAATTTAATCTCAAAAGGTACCGTGTATCTCAAAAGGTACCGCGTATGATAACTCGAACTCCCAGGCCTTGAGTGTGTAACGGACCAAACATGATATTTCACCCGGCTGAAACACGTTATCGGTACTATATAGCAATCTCTATTGCAAGGTATCTCGCCTGTAGCCAACAAAGATCGTATGAGCACAAACAACTTTGGCTGCCCCAATTGACCAAGCTGAAAGTCACATCAATACCTCTCGGGCTAAATTTCATCTCAAAAGGTGCCGTGTATCTCATAACTGAGTTCTGAGATGACAGCATATGATAACTTGAACACCCAGCTTGTGTTACCAGGTGGGAACTCCCCGCATCGAATCCGGTTGCGAACATATCGCACACCAGGCATGATGCAGCATACTCTTACCCCAAAGGTGGATGCCCGGGTGGGCGAGAAGTCTACCAGCTGAGTAAAGCCAAAGTCCTCCATCTTGTACAGGGACTGACGAAATTCCACAATAACAAAGAAACTCACAATCCTACGGGATCTCAAACAACCTAAAATCCTACGGGATATGCTTCCCCCTAGGGGGGAAGGAATGTAAGAGGGATCAGCTCCCCTTGCATCTTCCTGAGTACTCTTTGCCTGGTGTTACACGTGCAGGCAAATCAATTCGCACCAATGTAACACAAGGCAAAGAGTACTCAGGGAGATGCCAGGGGAGCTGATCCCTCTTACAGCACGTGCATTCCGACTTGCCACAAGCAGGCCGACAAATTTGCTTACATTTCTCTATGAAATACGCAAGCTGCTCGTTTGTACATTTACTTTAGCCAATGCTCGGGGCCTCCGGAGACTTGTGGTGTGCCGCGATGAAGCTCGCGGCTGTGGGGCGGATTGCTGAGGCCGCTGGCGCTTCGGCGATAAACATCACAGACAGCACCGAACTTCACCCAGCTTGCGTTACATTTGCCCGCACGGGCATTCCGACTTGCGGTCTGCTGCACTGTCCATGGGATGGATGCGATTCGCGTGGAGCCCGCAGGAGGTGCTGACGATTCCGCCGGTGCAGGCTTAGCTCCCACACCATCAGCACTGCTGCAACAAAGCACAACTCCCACCGCGTTGACACTACCCATCAATTGTCACACGTGCCGCGCTAGCTACCGGCCTGTACGGATGCAGGGGGGGCCCGCCCTTTTTCCGGCTTCGAGAATACCGATACCCGACTTGTTTCTCGTTAAACTGCATCTTGAGACGCAAGAGCATCTCCTCGCGGAGTTGAAGCTCCTTCTCGCGGAGTTGGAGCACCTTCTCGCGGAGTTGGAGCTCCATCTCGCGCAAGTAAGCCAACTTATCTTTATCCCTGCATGCTGTTTGTTCATCCTCCGTCGCCTCTATCTGCGACTTGACCTTCTGTATTTCCCTGTCGAGAATCTCCATGAGCTTCGCAATCTAACACCAGCGGAGCTGTGTAAGCAGAGCTCAGACTATAATGAATATAGAGCCGTTGCTATATCTACTTTATAAGGACAAAGTTTCTGCTGGCGGAAAAGTGGAAAAGCGGATGCCGTACCTATTGAAATTACAATTCTGTTGTACACCGCTTCTTAAATCTGGTCTGTCAAGTGATTCCTTTCTCGCGAGACTGCCAAATGGCCATTTGGCAGTCCGGAGACGTGTAGCGCCAAGGCTCAGCAGCTACGGGACAGTTGTCTGGATGAGGTTACTGTAGATGTGCAGCCCCGAAAGCACAATGGAAAGCATGAATATAACTGGTGAATGCATCATAAGTGAAGTTTAGGTTAGTTTAGGTGTTTGCCACCTGTATTGGTGCTCCAATCTACAGCTTTGGCTATTATGGCTTCAATGTCCTCTCCATCAAACAAATACCGTACTGCTACGAATTCTTCGCGCCACACCTTTCGTTTTGGGCCACGAAGTGTGTCACAGTGGAAAACGCTCTATGGGGAAAATTATTTGCTTGTCGCGAAACTGTCTGGCACAAATGCGTCGTACGCCGTGTACATGGTGTAGGTAAGCCAGAACTTTATTTGTTATTTGTTTGTGTATCGGGGCGTTTGGTAAACCGCACCTGACTTTGGTGCCGCACCACCGGGCCTGTCTTCTGTTCTTCTGCGTAAACATATAGTAAACGATCTGTCCAGCAGTTTGGGAGCTTTGACGCTGTCGCTCCTTGTTGTGGCTTCCCTGGAGCCCCGCGAAATGTGTGTTCACGTAAACAAATGTGTGCCATAAAAACTGACAGCCCTCGAGAATTGGTGTAACAAAACGAAAAATTCCAGCTACATTTTTGGGGTACCCACGAACGATGTGGCGCGAAGAATTCGTAGCAGTACGGTATCTTCATTACGAAAGAACAAAGCACGTAGCCATGACTCCCAACTCAGTCGAGCACGATATGGGCCAAGAATTGTCGCTAATCGGAACCGCTTCAAGTGAGAAGGAATTCGGAACAGCTTCCATTGGGATAATGGACTTGTGTTATCTTTAAGTATGCCTTGTAGCAACGTTAAAATAGAACTCACCGCCACTCACTGTCGCTAAACTAACATTAGTTATTCCTGGCTGACGTACAGCCGGGAATGGAGGCGGGTGGCCACCGTGAGAAGGAATTGGGCTCGCTTGGAGAGGTGAGTTGGAAGGGAGGGTCGGGGCTGTTATGTGTTTTATGTCGGGCGTCAAAAAGCTGTCGTACTCCGATATGGCTATCGGAGTACGGCAGATTTGTTTTGTGTAGGCAGGCGGGGGTGGGCCACATATGTGCCAGGGTTGTTTTCATTGTGGATTCGTTACCCGTTCCCCTCTTTTTAGTTCCTGATGCTATGGCGGGTGGCTGGGGCTGGTTGGGGGAGGGCGTGTGTGTATGTGTCAGCACTGTCTTTGCAGTGCCTGCTTTTATTCTCATGCTCTCATGCATGTGCAGGAAGTGCAGCCAACCTCGGATAGTGAGGCTGCAGTCCCTACAAACGCGGAGGGGGGTTAAGAAACTTAGGAGAATGCTTAAGAACGATAAGAATGTCTGAAGAACACGGAGGCAGCGGGTGTGCATTCTTAAACATTCTTACACTGGGATTAAGCGGTTTTATGTAAGTATGTCATATAAGTATTTGTTAAAGTAGTCCGCCGTACGTTGCTGTGCAGCTTCAAGGCAAGATTTAGCGTCAGTCAGTCGGGACACAAAGGACTTGGCAAACGTCTTTGCTGCAGGCAAGTTGACGTCCAACTCCCGCCAAACAGGCAAGGCAGGGTTGTATCCATAATCCAGGAAAAACGGACTTGTGCAAGTCGCGCGATTCACAGCATTATTAATCGTGAATTCCGCAGCAGTTAGATATGTGTCCCAGACAGAAGGTGTATGTCCGGCATAATTGTGCAACATATCGCCAAGAGTGCGATTTGTACGTTGTTCTGTCTGTCCATCGGTCTGTGGGTGATAGGCGGTGCTCAGGTTAACACGCATGCCTAACAGATCACCCAGGGTGCCCCAAAATCTGCTGGCAAATTGCGATCCGCGGTCAGTCACAACGTTCTTGGGGACACCATGCAAACACACTATGTTGTCAAAGAACAGATGTGCAGTTTGCTCAGCTGTGCAGGATGATACCGTAGGTGCCAGGTGCACCATTTTCGTGAGTCGGTCTACCATGACCAAAACGGCATCGAATCCTCCCTCAGTTTTGGGCAAAGCTACAACAAAGTCCATGGTAACACTTTCCCAAGGGGGGCCGGCACAGGCAAGGGACACAGGAGGCCGTGGGGCTTACCAGACAGGACTTTATTGCGTTGGCACAGCTCACAGTTCTGGACATAGTTCTCAGCATCCTTAGCCATCCGAGGCCACCAGGATTGACGATGGAGAACCTCGATCAGACGGGTGCAGCCAGGGCGCCCAGCCAGCGGGTCATCATGAAAACATGACAGGAGATCATGACGCAGCAAGTCATCATTCGGAACGACAACTTGCTGAAAAGTACCCTCAGTGCGGATCCAAAGGCCACTGTTACGGGTTAAATGGCCAGTATTGTGGTTATCGGAAAACCAGGGATCCGTGGCATAGGCAGCTCGAAGTTGTTGCACAAGTTCAGAGGGCACAACGGGTGCTGCAGCACGGTCGCGTGTAACGACTGACAGAATGGCTGCATGCAGACAAGGGTGCCCGACTTAAGGCATCAGCAACGTTAAAGATGCCTTGCAGGTATTCCCTTGTGAAGTCAAACCGGCTAAGGTATTCCATCCACCGGGCTTGACGACGATTAAGGGTAGGCCACGCCTTGCAGAAACGTTAGGGGTTTGTGGCCACCATGGTCGGTTTTGAGGGTGAACGGCCGACCCTCCAGATAACACCGCCACTCCTACGAATTAGCCTGGCGGAGACATTCCGACAGTCAGGATTAGCCTGTCAGGGTGTCGAATTGGCCTGGCAGGGACATTCGGACAGACGGAATTGGCCTGCTCGGGGTGTTGAATTAGGGAAGCACGGGAATTGTGCGACCGGGGCAGTCAAAAGAATTGCTCTCCCTGACCATGTGTCCTACCCTCTATCCCCAACGACTTCGCCTAGACTGCTCCATTTCCAACTATCCTGACCCAGATCAGGCAGACCGCGTACCCAAGTAAAGAGAACTGTCAAGTTTTCTGAAAGTCTGGTCTAGCACCGAACGGGTGCTACGAAGCTCTTGACAGAGCCTCTGGCAAAGGGCAGGGACCGCCGAAGGAACCGGCGGTTCAGAACCTGCAGCAACTTTACCGCTAGTAACCCAAAATCCTAGAAAAAGTCAGCAAACAGATTTGCTAAAGTAGTTTACAGACCGGCGGCTGCCACTTCGGGGACGGCCTCTCCGAGAGCGTCAACTATTGTAGCCAGAGGTCCGGTGACCTCCATCCACGCGCCGGTAGAAATAGGGATCTTGATGGTAAAACGTAGGATGTTGCAAATTCCAGGAATGAGAGAGGCCCCGGGAGGAACCGTCTCGATACTAGACTTGTTATATCTTACTAAACCACAACTGGATGGTGGTTGGCTGGAAGACACCAATTGGAAGAGGTGCTTAGGGTTTTTGTTACAGGTAGCTGGCCAGATTTCAGGAATCCAAAATTCTAGGCAGACAGAAGAAAGGGAGGGTGGGTGGGGTTATCAAAAAGCCACACCCGATTTACGCAAAATGATGCAGATCTCTGCTTTCAGTGCAAGTCGTAGCAATGAACCCTTGGTGCGACTGGTGTGGACCAGTCCCAGTAGACCCGTCACCGGCAGCAGCCCCGAGGTGAGGCTAGAGATTTGGTAAAAAGTCCAGAATGTATCGATGCATAAAACGAGACACTGTGCGTACAGGCTGCTACCGTGAGTGTGAACCAAGCTGGGGCGCCCAGCTCCGCAGCGCGCTCTGAAAGGCCGGCAGCGCTACCAAGCACCACGGACCCCATCATGGTAGCCTTCCTTCACTCGCTAGAGGGTCGGCGTGGGGTCCCCCAAATGCCTAGCCCGGCACTGTTATCTGTGTATGAGACCATCTGCCAGCAATGGACCCCGGACAGCTGGCACAAGATTCGGACACAGTCGCACGAGCTGCATAGTTGGCTTGCACAGCATGGGCCCTGGGTGAATCTACTAAACTGTGATCCAGCGTCACTTTTGATGTTTTTCGAGGAACACTGGATCACCGCCCACCCAGGCCGGGTTCGTGTAGATTGCAGGCCTTGCCCTGCAACCTTGCAGGGGGCGATCTCCCACCTGTCAACAGCTTTCAATTTACTAAACCGACGAGGACTGTACGATGCGACAGCATCAACCGGCAATCCGTGCGAGTGTTCAGCCATTCGTGGCTATGGAAAGGGTTATCGGCAAATTCTCACTCGGCAGGGTCACACTGAGCGGGGTGCCGTACCTCTTTCGTACACTAAACTAGTAGATCTAAGTACGTACTTGGAGCAGACCGCTAGCAACACCATCAGTCGGATTTCCTGAATAACACTGCTCCAGGACCGGAGTATTTTCTGTCTGCTGTGGAGCACGAGCATGCATGGGCATGACTGCAGAGAGCTTTGGCTGGACAATCTTCGGGACCCTGATCAAGTTCGGAGCCCATTCAGAGGCCTTCCGCTTCCTATGCCCAGCGTGGACGGGTGAGTCCCTTAAGGGACTCAGGTAGAAGCTTCTACCTGTCGCCTGCAAATCGCGAAGCTAGGGACGAAGATGTATCGAGGAGTCCGATCACCTGGGCAAATGGTGGAGAGAAGCAGTAATCCCGTGATTTGTCCCTTGGGCACTCTTTCGGTGTATCTTTCGACGTGTTCAGTGTAGCAAGTTCCTGTGACCGACTACCTCTTCCGGCCCGTGGACACCGACGGGCGCCGATTCAAGGAAGCCCCGCTTTCAACGGAGGCTTTGGGGTGCCGCCTCAAACAACACTTAAGCAGTAGTGGCCAGTATGGAGGCGAGAGTGTACATAGTTTCCGTCATGGTTGTTTACAGCATGCCTTTAACCAGGGTGTGCCCCCCAGTGAATTATTAGTG